ATGATGGCGCGGACCCTCACTTGCTCCGCTAGTTCATGTTTTATGAACGATCCATTAACGATAGCACGGTTCCAATATAGCAGTTTTGCTAAGATGATGTCGGAGCAAAATGTAACGATACACTTTTTTGGTATTTGCACTACTTTGTTTTTTTCATCCCTCCAAATATTGCCCTAAAATTGACATTTTTCAGCACAAACATGTTTTATTGACAAGCGCTAGGGCACTGAAATTAGCTACAGATGTAGTGCTTATAATTGGTAATATGCAGAAAAAAATTTAATGTTGTGTAAAAATTTTTTGTCGAGATATTTTATATCAAACGTAGCACTTTTTTGTGCTTTGAGTCATCGTACTTCAAATGCCGCTGACGAAATATTCAAACTATGATAAGATATTTTATAACATTTAGAGCTACAATGGTTGCCCAAGAGGTGGACGATGGCTTTTTTTCGTTTTCAAAGTCATAACGCTCCAGGAGCCCTTCAAACTTACCTGTTTTTGACGCATATCTTTTTGGACATCAAACAGATTTATTGGCATCTAATAACATTTATTGTTTGGAATAGACATACATTGCGATGTATTAAATTTTCACAATGACCTTGCTTTGGTTTCATAATAGGTGTAGAGCTTAGCTAATTTTAAAAACAATTAAAAACTGTTTGGGTGTTTTGTTGCGCTACCTGGGGGATGGCAGACAAAGTGCTGATTTCTAGTGTTCGAAAAATTTCCGAGGGCGGCGTTGGCGTCTGTATCATCATCAATCGCCGTGTCTTTTTACCTTCACATTTAAAAAATATATTGGAAGATTTACTATCGATAAATGAATGGTTTAGGTACTGAGTCAGGTTAATAAATCTAAGACAAATAATTACACACGCGTAGCGTGATATAATGTGGTAATTATTCGATATGATCGAAATCAATAAACAATAAAGACGAAGAGGAAAATAATACACCCGAGTTCACTTCACGCCTAGAGTCGCTGAATGAGCTTTGAAGTATCGGCACTCCGTTCCCCAAAATTGTTTTGGGCGCCGCCATTTTGGGTCCTGTTTAGTGCAAACGCAACTGCCGATCGTCATGATCCAAAAGCACGACTTCCTCAGCATTAGATGCGGTGCTAGGAAGCTGATGCAATATTGCAATTAAACATTTGTGGGGGACGGAAAAGCGTTTCCTGTGATTTTAAATAAAGCTTCAGGTAACTGGCAACCATGATTTTAAGCCACAATATGGCCAAGTGTCGTTACTCTGAACCGTAGCTAATTTACTGGCACAAGCGGGAACAACGAAGAAGAGGCAGGTGTCAAAAGGTAGTGGCTTGTGGAATCCACGGGGCTTACGTCTTGGCCCTTCCGGGTATTAGAAGCCTCCTTAACAAGAGCATGAATAGTGTCATTAAATAAGCTACGCGTCAGAGTAGCGACACTTGGCCATATTGTGGCTTAAAATCATGGTTGCCAGTTATTTGAAGCTTTATCTGAAATCACAAGAAACGCTTTTCCGTCTTCCACTTTAAACAGTGTGCGACAAAGCGAAGCAACATTACATGAGTTTCCTAACACCGAATCTAATGCTGAGGATGTCGCACTTTTGAATCATGACGATCGGCTGTTGCGCCTGCTCTGCACATGAGGAGGAAGCGGCCAGGTAGGAGAAACGCGGGTTTTATGTGCGACCGTTCTAACCGTCTCAAAAGAGAGAGCGCGCGAGCTTGCGCTGGTTTAAGAAAAAGGCATCCAAAGAAAAGAGGCCGCACGCTGTGCTTTTTGTGATTATGCATCTAACTGCAAATTGTTGTGTGTATGTTTATACAGCCGGAAGTTAGTCCGCCTCATTGGGCGTCTGACTCTCAGCTGTAGATAAGCAATTTAGCCAGCGCGGTACAACCGCAAACCTGGTGTCTTTAACGTGCACCACGCAGTAGTGATACACGACCACACGCCGGTAGGATGCTCTTCCAGATCGAAACGGGCAAGGGCGGGGTGGCTTCTGCAGCGCGAGCTTTGGCTCCAAGTGCTCCGAGCTGGTGTGCGCTAGACCATGCACTCGGCCACCGACCCCCCCCCCCCCCCCCCTTTGTGCGTCTAATTTATATACAGGTATAAGTATTTGCAGATCGACGATGGACGTCGATCGTCTCGAGGTAATGTAACGTAATAACATTATATAAATAATAAACTTGTTGAAGGACTCAACGACTCAATTTTTTAATTCTTAGATTGTAATATGGCCGTAGCCTATTGTACTTGCTGTTGATGAAGAGCAATATGAGGTGACGAGGTAATGATTAAATGATGAGGCTCTATAAGGACGACGACATTAGTGAGTGTCGAACCACAACGTACAGTGCCATACTTGTTTCAAGTATCGTGTACCCAAAGACTTTCTTCTCCCGCAACAGGATATGGTAGAATCAATGAGGATGCTACTTTACAACTGTGCGTGGAACAGGAAAACTGCACTGTGCAGAAGTGCGGCTTATTCGTTAATAAGAGGGACGGATTTCTAGCAGCATTCCCTGATTGATTACTTGGAACAAATGGCCTCATTGACGTAAAGTGTCCCCGTTACAAAAGATTCTTGAAGCATACTTAAACCGCAAAGGAGTATGAGGCGAAAAATAATAAAAAGGAGCCTGGTGTGAAAGGTCCAAATCACCCACCATGGCTTCTACTATCAAATACAAGGGCAGTTACACAATACACAAAGAGAGTTTTGGGATTTAGTTATATTTACACTCAAGGACGTTGATATCCAACGTATACAGAGAGATGACACCTTCTGGTCAACCAACATAGAGCCTTTTCTACTCAAGTTTTACATGGAAGGCCCGACTTCCGCTGAAATTCCTTACGTAGACGAGTTGTCCGACCGAATAAACTGCAATTACTCCCGATCTGGGAATCTCTCGATCTTCGTTTGTAAGCCATAGTATCATGAGATCGAGGGGTGTGGCTCTTCGTCCACCGAATATTTCTTCGGCGGGTGTTTTTACCGTGTAAGAGGAGACCGTCGCGTGCTGTTGGAACAACCTGGCGATTCTTCACTGAACTGCTTCTTCCGTAAGCTTCGAAAGGGCTTTTTTTTTGTTTCGCACACCATCTGTTTTGCATGCCCGTTAGTTGCAGGATGGTATGGTGCACTAATGTGATGCCTGATGCCGGTTTTTTTCTTCAAAAACTTGTTTATTTTGTTTGAAGCAAGATTTGGCGCGTTATCACAGAAAAGTATTTTTGGTAGGGCAAAAGTAGGTAAAAGAGACCGTAGAACGTCAATGACGTGTTTGGACGTCGTGGCAGGCATCGTGTAAACTTCCAGCCACTTAGAGTACGCATCGCCCATGACTCCGCAGATGCGGATACGTTTCGCCACCCACCGATTGAATAGTGGATCGTCTTCAGTTACTGTTAGACTCAAGGAAGACTTCGAGTCTTTCCAGAAAGTTAGCCTAGGTGCCAGGACTTTTGTCGAAAGCGGTAAATGTTCGAAATGTCGACAACGTCGGTAGCCACGTGTTGTGCTTGACACTGGACACTTACCATTCGCTGAGACGAAACTTGCTTGTTCGTCTGCCACAAGTCGTCCGATATCAGGTCATCACCGCAACACCATCTCCCGACAAAAACGCATGTCCATAGTTAGCAATCACGTGAATCTATAAATTCCCGAATGCTCATAACTTGCCGTCGCTAAACGCCATTCATTCGTAGCGTCATCATTGCAAATAAACGCCTCCCCATTTCTTCTGATGGTTTTCATCATATTCCTCCTAAGCTGTACTTACAACATTATGTGTGTCGGTACTTCCGAACATATTGCAACGGCGTTTGTTTTCTGGGAACCCCCCCCCCCCCCCCCCCCTTTAATGTAACAACCTGTACAACATCTTCCGAATCCCATGAAACACAATATATCGTGACGTTATTTTAGTCGTCATTAAAATAGTGAGGTAAGTACCGTAAATCGCGAAGCCGTTCACTAGACGTCCGCTTCCACGGTGTCTTGGAAGATTGAGTCTACTGAGCGTGCATTCCTGCAGAAGAAATTTTCATTGATAGAATATTGACACGTCAATCAACATTTGATTCCTTCTTGGTAAGATTTATTGCGAAAGCCCGTTACAACCGCCGGGACAGCATCTTCCTATATCAGAGAACAATTTATACCCAGCCTGACATTCTCGGATACGTCCGTTTGATGTGCCACGCTACTTGAGCTAGCTGAGCACAGCTGGCAGCGGCGCGAGCAAGGCCACGAGGGGAACGTGATGGTGCTCGAGCCATCCCACTGTTAACCAATGTTTCGGCCACCCCACGGGTACGTGTCGCCATCTATTGGTTGAACTAACGCCTTGTTCAAGATGGCTCCCGTGGGACCGCAGCCTTAAGCCCGCAAATCATCTGGGAGAGTCTAGTCGACGAGGATTTTATTGATTTGGAGGACCAATCAAATGATAAGGCTGGAACTATGTTTAGACCTAAAAAGGCAGTCTGAGCTGTGACACCGGACACAACGTTCAACCATGCTCAGTGTCACAGGGAGGACTGTCTTGCTTAGGTCGAAACATATTTTTAGACTCGTCATTCAGCCAGCTTCTTTCGTCGATCGCAGCAATTGGGGCTCTCCAAAGAGCTTTGCGGGAAAGCAGATACTCCAGATTTCTTAGAGTGCGCGCTAGAACTGTAAGTCACTGACAGGCTAAGAAACGCAGGGCACGGACTATACGGAGCGCAAGTTCGTAGCTTCTTTTGCAGGGGTTGTGGTGACGTCAGAACGCCCAGCTCCGATTGGTTCTCAATGAAGGATAGTGGGTAGACCTCAAAGCAAGCAACCTTGAGGTCTATCCACTGTCCTTCAATCAGAGTTACTCAGAGCTCGGCGTCTTTCTGACGTCATCACAAGCTTTGTGATTCGATCATCGGTGTTCTTATCGGCGGATGTCCTGTGTCTTTGAAGGGGGACTCTAACTGTCTTGTTGTTGTATTCCACAGGCCATCACGATGAGCAAGAAGGAAGTGCTGGCACTCCTGGTGGTGTTCATCGTGTACGTGGTCATCGGCGGAGCGGTTTTCATGGCCGTCGAGGGACCCAACGAGGACCTGCTTCGAAACGAGATCATGGAGATCCGGAGGAACTTCCACGGTACGCATGCTCACTGGCTCCAGGTTCTCACTTGCTGGGTTCCGATGACTAGTCCTCAAAGAAGGCGCGTGGACCTCTCTCCTGATATGGCAGGTATTTAGATGTTGTCATCGGCATGACCTGTGGGTGATCAAACTTATCGTTTGCCAGAGAACCTAATTTCGACGGTTCTGCGTGGAATCCCTTGTTCCTGGGAAAGTAGCGTCTTATTCGGTCGACATTTTGGCTCACGGAATGAGATGTTTCTTCTTGGCCTTTCCACCCTTGGTGAGCACATCAAACTCTGCAGAGAAAGATTGCTTTATAAATACATTTCTTGAATACCGACATTTTGTTATCCACACACTGGCGAAACAAGCGCACATCTTCGCACTATACCACCGTGCGGTGCCGGTGCTTGGCGGCATTGTAATTTCATTTTCTCAGAATACGCAAGGAATACAATATCACTGTAAGTCATATGGTGCTCCATTGCGATCTTGGGTCGTGGTGTGACTGGTTCAGAACGACCTTTTCGAAGATTCATATGGACCGAAATGGCGATTACCATGGCAGCTGAGACCGATGAGCCAATCGCCTTGCGAGGTTTGGTTGTCGGTTTTGTAGTGTATTTCGGTGTCCTGCTAGCAGGCCGGGAAGGCAATAGCGCTACTTACTCTCGGCGAACCTGGAAGCAAACCCACCCGGCGAGACGAAGGGGAACCAAGGGACCGTGACATCACCGCCTGCTGCGATTGGTCAGCGGCGCGGTGTTGATAAATCGCAGCAGGCGTCGATGTCCCGGTCTCCATGTCCCGCTTCGTCCCGCTTCGCCACTTCGGCCCCTGGCGTCTTGGTGCGCCGATGGTAACAACCTCCCTCGGAGCGCGGGCGGCGAGATGCGTATGCGAGTTCGAGGTTACACCGCCATGGGAAATTTGGCACCATAGTCGCGCTTTTTAACGCAAATGCGCCGAGAGTAATGTCTTCTCTCTATATACTTAAGTATTTGATGGAAGCTCAGAGAAGCCGCTCTCCAAGTCCGGCGCACATGAAGCTACCGGAATTTCGACGCCTATGTCAGGAATGGGGCTTCTCCTGCCTATCTTGGTATATTATTACATTGTATCGATTCGCGATTTTTTTTTTTTTGCTTTTTGACGTTTTTATAAGTTTGATAATGAGAATAAGGCATTTGAATGTGGCGCATGCACCTTTGGTCAACTAGGACCTCTAAATACTTGCACATGGAATGGTGTTCTAGAGCACTTCTCTGGTTCGCTTAATGTGGCAGGTTTTCTCGGTGTAAAAGGAGCGTAGTTTGTTTCAAAAAGCACCGCCACGACAAAGTGGCATGCACGATCCTGCTTGGGCGGCCGAAAGTTGGAACGGTCAGACGTGCACCGCGTGGTAGTGGTTACACTAATGGGCGTGTCGGTACATCGTCCGTTTATACAACAATCGGCACGACTGCAAATGAAAGCCAGAATATCTGAGTTTCCTAAATGTTTGAAGCTTGAGCTCTCGTTCCTCGTGCGTGACCTATAAAGTCCCTGAATCCTGGGAACGTGGTGCCGTTGCCTTCTCTGCCGGGTAGCCGGGCACAAACCGATACTAACATACAGACGAGCAAACATCGCAAGGTGGTTGGCAGAGCGGTCCCAGTTGCCATGGAAATCGTCATTTGGGTCCATTCAAATCTCCAAAGCTTCGAAAGAGTACGTTACGAACCAGTCGCGCCAAGATCGCTATGAAGCTTCATTGTACTAAAAGCATTCCTTGCCAATATACGCGTTTTTGGTACTGGGCATGTAATCAACTTATAAATCATGCTTATCTCCATATATATATTATAATTATATTCCCTTTTTTGCGTATTCGAAGACGGAGAAATTATTTTTCAGTGCCACCGAACGCCGCGACGCCGCATGTTGTTGGCGGTGCGAAGATACGCGCTTGTTTCACCCGGGTGTACATAACAAGAACTTGGTATTCGAGATATGTCTTTATAGAGCAACCTGTCACGGAAATTTGGATCGGCTCACCAAGACCGGAGAGGTTATGGATAAACTGCTCATTCTATGAACCGAAATGTCCATCATACCGGGAGCTTGGCGCAACCTCCCCAGGATCCAGTGACATTACTACTACCAGTAGAGCCACTACATATACTGCCCTTCAAAGCAAAGACACTTCTGCCATCTTATTGCCGACCATCGTTGTTGCTAGCTCTCTGAAGCTCCATCTGACATCGCAGAAACCGCTTTTCCGTCCTTCTGAAATGTTAAGGCAGACAGTGACCGAGCAAACACGCCTTTGTCTGAGCGTCCTGACAACGTGCTCAGGAAATCGTCTTTTAGAATCGCAACGATCGCCGATAGAACCTTTTTGAAAAGTGCATCAAGGAACCTTGGCGGTCGCCATTGCTTGTACAGGAAACGCGTGATTGGTTCCGAGTCCTCGCCGAAGGCTGACTCGGCGCTCGTTTTCAATACTATCTGAGCCGAGCTCACGCCGAACGCTGACTTAGCCCTCGTGTCCAATAGATGCTCAGAGTATGTGAGCAAGAAATGGAGAACAGTCGTTTTCGCGGACTTTTGAAAAGGGTCTATTGCCTTCAGTCTGCAGTGAGTACGAAAATGGCGGTGCCCGCAGAAAAATCAAGGAATGAATTGCCTTTCAAAGAGCTCGTTTAGCGGCCCCATGAAAGCGCAAGTTCGTCTGCTTCTTTTGCTGGGGGTTGTGGTGACGTCAGTACGCCGGGCTTCGATTGGCTCTGATTGAACGATAGTGGTTAGACCTGAAAGCAAGCTGCCCTGAGGTATTTCCATTATCCTTCAATCCCAGCCAATCAAAGTTCGGCGTTCTGACGTCACCACAACCCCAGCAAAAGAAGCAGACGAACTTTCGCTCCGCATAGCACTGCCGAGCTGAAGTCAATAAAGGGCAACATCCGGAACCGACGCAGACGCTTCACCTCAAGAATTTCAGCAGCACAGCCCGACTTCATCTTTCAGCACGGGTTCGGTGTAACTTCAACGCGGGCGGAGAGACCAGTCGTGGCTGCTCCGAGCAGACAGCCGTGACGTCACAGGGAAGGAAACATCAAAACACGAGTCGTAGATTACGGCCTCTGCGCCAGGGATATCCCCGCTTACTTGGAGAAACCTAGGGCGACGAGAAAAAAAAAAGACGCATAAAATCCCAGACACACTTTCGAGGCGCGTGTGTTCGCGCACGTCCTCCCCACGCCCGCGCACAGATCTACGCAGAAGCACACATACAGATTCGGAACGGCGAGCATAAATATACACACAAGGACGCGCACAGGCTGTGATTCTAAACTTGGAGAAACGAACTCTGGGATGGACCCATGTTGGGAAGTATTTTCAGCGTTTTGGGGCAAAACAGGCTCTTAAAATAGAACTCACGGAGACACCAGTTATAGCGGAGCAGTCTTTCAGTATACGGTACAACAACATTTCGCCTGCCGCGTCTCCCGCGCCTAAACGTGCGACTTAACCTTGCATGTCCTCGGCCCTTCAACACTCTCTTCCTGCTGTTTCCGGCATCTTTCCTTTATATTTTTAATTGTTTGCTTCTTCCTGCGTTGCAATCACAACTGAAAGATATCGTCTGATGGTCGATGACGTGTCTCCCAGAAGCTGAAGAAAGCTGGCTTCTTTTGTTCATTTCAAACCTATACGCAACCTATAAGAAAATCACGGCGCTTGCTTCCTTTACAGCAAACAAGTTTATGTCTGCAATCGCAACACATCGCAAAAACAAAGAAACAGTGCAAATGCTGCGAGAAAAAAGGATGATCCATTGGTGGATCCTTGGGAATACGTTAGCATGACCCTTGGGAAGCGCCGCACACGTCCTCCCTTGGGAAACGTTAACCCTGACCCCTTCACTTTTCTGTCTTGGCTTTCTCTTTTGCTTCCACTATTTTTTGCTGCCTCTTTTTGGCCTCGTTACGGGGTTAGTGTTAGTGTTTCCCAAAGGAGGACGTTTGTGGCGCTTCCCAAGGGTCATGCTAACGTATTCTGTAAGAATCCACCAATGAACCTCTACTACAGCTACTACTACGAAAACCCAAAGCGAAGAACAACCGGCGACGACAGAGCGGCAACTGCAGCACGCCCGCATTCCCTCGCGCCGCAGCTCCTTCTCTTTGGCTCCGCGCCAGCTGTGCGCGTGACTTCGGCGAAAACGACTTAGACGAAAACCCGGCGGTGTCTGTCAGTTTGTCAACACCGGGGAGAGAGGGAGAGGATGACGCGTGCCAACGTCAGCGCTTCGAACCAATAGACCGTTTTATCGTGGGTAGCGCCATTTTGAGAGCGAGAGAGAAAAGGGGAAAGGGCTACCGGCGCTTTCCCCCTTTCTGATTGTGTAGAAAAAGTGGAAGTCCCGGATGAGAGGCTTGGCCGGTGTTGGGCATCTGCAGTTCCCCAACTTCGTTCGCGCTTTCTTCTACGTTTCAAACTCCCGAACTTAATTAGAGCCATGGTCTTCGATGGCGACAGTCCCCCGGTCATCGGGACACCATTGCTGGGTGATAGGGTGCACGAATAACGACAGAAAGCGCCGAATACTATCCGAGGGCCTATGTAGCTTGCATGGAATCCGGCAGGGCAAGTACTGCCGGAATGTTTTTAAGCTTCATTGCTTTTCGCATGACAGAAAACGATGAACCATTTATACATTTTTGCTTGCAATGGGCCTATTTCAACGTAGCCGCTTTTAGTTGTAATCAACAAGTGATACACGAAACGGGAACCTCAATTAACTTTGTAAACGCCCGGAGCTGCTACATATAGTCTTTCTGTGCTGTTTTTATCTTCGTGTCCTTGTTCTTATATTTCCTTGTGAATGAACGACGAAGACGCTCTAGATGTACTTTTATCGAACCGCAGAAAGCCTCGAAGCAGCCACGAATTATTTTACTATTTGGTGCAATATTTTGGGTACTCACCTCCAATTTCTATAGCTGGCACGTTCGCTGCCGCTTTTCC